GAACGAAAAACTTTGTCGAAACCACGAACGAAACCTCGCCAACAACCTCAAAGCTCGCCGGTTTTAGGGGGGCTATTTACGGACTATTTTGCGGCGAAATTGATAGCAATTTGAGCTGCGGTTTAAGGGACATTTGGTTGATTCTTTGCAGCTGGTTTAGGGCCATTTCAAGTGGCGCTAATGGCTGTTTTTTGGATGGATTTGGTGCTGGATTTCCAGCCCGTTTTTAGGCTGTCTTCAATGGTTTTGAAGGCTGAAGTTTGCTGGTTTTTTCAGAGGTGATTTGCTGCTGATTTTGCATCTAATTTCACTAGGAAATAGAGTTGTTTTAGGTCATTTTTGGACTGGTTTCATGGGCAAAAGAGGGCTGGTTTTAAGTGAAAAAATGTGAGATTTTATGGCAGTTTTTCAGCTCATTTTTTGGAGTTGTTTGAGGTGTTTTGCTGCAATTCGAAGCATCTTTTAGGGTGTTCATGGCTATTTTATTAGTGAGGTTTTAAGGAAGAAGAAGAAGTCTCAGGCTGTTCTGTTTTGGCTTGGAGATGCAGCAATATTTCCTTAAGTTCAGAGAAAGAGATGATGGAATTTTGAAGGGGAGGGGCGGCTCTCTTCTCAGATTAGGTCTTCAGGTACTCTTTTTCGATTTTTGGTGTCCTTTTTATATTGAGGGTAAGATGAATTGGGGAACAAGTAAGGCTTGGTCATGTGAGGAGTGTGTGCAATTGGATAGAGATCAAAATTTATAAAAATCTGATGGTGGAAGAATCTTTTGAAATGCATTTGGTAACAAACTTCTATCCTTTTGCAATGAGGTGGCGTGGATTTGCTTGTCCTTATTTTCTTGATTTTTTATTATTTCTATTTTTTTTTCAAATGTACGAAGAATAGAGAAAAATACTACTCCTTATAACTACTAAAATACTAGCTTATCAAAATTAGAGGAAGGTCTATTTTTGTGGATTTTTCTTTCTTTGTAAATGAAAACAAAACTAATATTCTTAAAAATGTAATTCTTTTTGTATATTTTTTTTTAATTTTATCAAATAAACCTACTAAAAAGTGAAATAAAGGCTAAAATATGTAAGTAAACTTAAAATATATTTACATACTAAAAGGTGATGGAAAATTCTGAGTATGGTCAAAAATTAAGTGCTCACACTTCTAATTTATTTTTTTGTGTTGTTCTAAATATGTATTAATAGTTACGTTACTCCATTTAGCACCGTTCAAAAGCACACATCTAAATTGATTGAAAAATTCGACAAAACAAAGATTGATCAATATCAACCATACTCAGTTGAACAATAAGGGTATCAAAATTAAAATAATGCAATTATACAGCGAATAAAAGTCGCTGATGTCCCTTAAAATTTCTGTAATTTGGATAATGATTTCTGTTGAAAGTATATTTTAACGACCTGTAATTTTAAATCAATTGTAATTGGGCTTTAATCGAGTTAAAGTTTCCAAAACTGCTGCGATGTTCCTAGTTAAGGCCCTAATCGGTTACTTGTTCGTAAGCAAGACTACTTCTTATAAAAAGAAGAATTAACCAAATAGCTGCCCATTTAATTTCTTAAATTAAAAATAGCCGGCAGATATATAAAATATTATGCATGAAATATATATACTGATTATACACAGTTAGGAAAAGTTCAGCTAGGTCCATAGTTCCGGAATTTATACGCGAATCAAGATCGATAAAAGGAAATTTTACAATCACCGACTCAAACCCATTGTCAAATTCTACTCAGCGAAATATGGAGGTACTTATGGCAAATCGGGCCTGGTCTTTTACAATAAAGCGATACACGGAACTGCCATGAAACGACTTACTAGTAGATTAATAGATCACTTCGGAATGACATATACATCGCATATCCCGGATCAAGTAAAAACTCTGGAGTTCCAACAAGCTATTGCGACATCCATTTCATTAGGAATTGATGATCTTTTAACAATACCTTCTAAGGGATGGCTAGTTCAAGACGCTGAACAACAAAATTCGATTTTGAAAAAACACCATCATTATGGGAATGTACACGCCGTAGAAAAATTACGTCAATTCATTGAAATATGATATGCTACAAGTGAATATTTGCGACAAGAAATGAATCCTAATTTTAGGATGACTGACCCTTTTAATCCAGTTCATATAATGTCTTTCTCGGAAGCTAGAGGAAATGCATCTCAAGTACATCAATTAGTAGGTATGAGAGGATTAATGTCAGATCCTCAAGAACCAACGTGTTATTGCTTCAAGAAAAGTAAACAGTGGATCTGGCCGGATATTTATTTTTGTTCTGAAAACAAAACAACTATCTGTTGGGTGTGCGAACAAAGTTCCACGTTGGAAGCTGAAAAGATTGGGAGCCTACATATAAGGTGTAGGGATTTCTTAATGGTGTGAGGTCTTTTGGGAAAACCGTACGTGTTTGGCCCAAAGCGGACAATATCACACCATGTTAAGAGGGTATTTGGGCCAGTTTAGCCCAACAACTGGTATCAGAGCCCAGGTTCGGCGAGACGATTATGAAGATGGCAAAGTGATGGTGCACATACAAGAAGAAGCTAGTTGCGGGCTTCGATTGCCATAATACTCTAACAATGTAGGTGGCACACATTGAATCTCAGAAATTGATTTGTGGATCATGGCAATGGGCCACATGGAACTTAGTTCGAGGAGGAGACCTGTGAATCGTGGTAGTAAGCCATGTGGAACTTAGTTCGAGGGGGAGATTGTTGGGTGTGCGAACAAAGTTCCACATTGGAAGCTGAAAAAATTGGGATTCTACATATAAGGTGTAAGGATCTCTTAATGGTGTGAGTCCTTTTGGAAAAAATTATGCGAGCTTGACCCAAAGCAGACAATATCACCATGTTAAGAGCGTATTTGGGCCAGTTTAGCCCAACACTATCATCTTTTCTTAAAAATATTTCAGTTTTAAAAAAAAATCGCCTACTCGACGAATTCGTTTTTTGTAGCAAAAAATGTTTTTGTCGACACTACTGATTCTTTTCTCTTTTGGCTGTGAAATTGCTTTCTAAATCGAAACCCATAAATGAATTTACAGAAAACAAAATCAAATGGATATTAAACCTGCTTTTAAGTCCACACATGAGGGCTGATTAAAACCACCACTTTAGAACCAGACCCCCAAAAAAATCGACACATGCAATTTAGGTAAAGAACGGTTAATAATGAATTAAGTTGTCTGATTAATTATCGAAAATAAATTTGAAAGAAGAGAGAGTACATATTGCTCAGAGTCTGTTGAGGGAATGGTTCTCACATAAAATAAGCTAGTTTTTAAACAAAATTTCTAACAACTATAGTCCCTTTTTAGTTTTTTTTTTAACAAAAAAAATGTTGTTTCTGTAATTATAGAAAACACGATAGTGAATTATGTGTTACTACTCATATTATAAGTGTACTTTCCACAAACACATGTCAGAACTTAGGCAATAGGAAAACCCCTAAGGGACGTTTGGTTGTCGTATTAGAGTAATTAATTTCAGCATAAATTTTCGCATTAGATATCCCAATTTGTGGTTGGCTGCTTAAACAAAATGATCGTCAAATAACTAATGCAATATTTGGTTTGCAGTATAAAATAATATCCACATTATGTATGTGAGTGAGAATTTTTTATTTTATTTGGATAGTATATAGTAGAGTATGAGTATTAGAAACACGTGGATTAGGCTATTTAAAAACAAAAGTATCCTTTTAAAATAAGTAATGCGTGTATACTAAATATTTCTTTATTAATCACCCCACACATAATCTTTGCATTGTATCCCCACATATCGGGTTCTTTGCATTTTGCAGCCTTATATATGTGTCAATTTTTGCTTTGTACCCTATCCTCTTAATTTTTTATGATTTTACCCCCAATATATTCACTGTTTTGCAAAAGAAGGGCAAACGAGGAACTTCCTTTTTTCTTCTTTTCCACTGTTGCTAGGCGATATGCTTAAAACTTGCAGTTATCGAGTTCTAATGGTCATTATCTATTTGGATACCGATTGAATCAATTTTTGATGCCATTTTACTCCCATTCGAGCTATTCACATCTTGGGCTTAGATGCACCATTAAAGGAGGCTTTCTTGGGCATTATTATTTGGGGTATTACCACTTTTACCCCGCGTCAGAAACTATTTATATTCGGTAGTTGAAAAAATGTATAAAATTTATATAATTTTTCTATATAACATACAGAATATTTATATATATATATATATATATATATATATATATATACAAAATATATATATTTTTTGGCTATTATTTTGAGAGCAGTGTCATTTTCCCTCATTATTTCGTGCAAAAAACCATGAAAATAATTCAGTTTTAGTCTTTAGGAGGATAAATTCTATCACTATTATAACTGTGACGAGAAGGCTAAAGCTTATATTATAGGACGATGATCGAAAATCAGCAGCTCAGCACTAACTAAAAAGTAAATACTTAAGTGATTTTCCCAATATCAGACCAGAATACAGTGCATGTTAGTTTCTATGGATGAACATTTACACTTTTGTATCAGTCAAATAGCTTATTATTACCAATAAATTGAAGCTTCCAGTAATGGAGACATATGCAACAAGAGATCGACTAAACAAGACATTAGACGAAACACCACTATTAGTGAGTCAAATGTCATTCAATGAGATTTGAAATTGTTTTCTGATGTCACATTCTCATCAATATCAATACCAATATCAGATATATCAAATATTTTAGTATATGGTCTCGTCAACTGTCAACCGAATGAACTTCCTCATCCACCTTTCTTCTAGCCATCTGGTTTTTAGTTATACGATACCTATTTTGCCCCTAACAGGATGAACTCTTGTATGATTTTGCAAAACAGTGAATAGGTTAGGGGGTAAATCATAAAACATAAGAGGATAGGGTGCAAAGTGAATAATGAGGCATACATGATGGGTGCAAAATGCAAAGAACCCCCTTATCTAGTAGGTGAACCTTTATTCGTTACAATCCATTTTCTACGCATTGGAATCTGTTTCACAATTACACATAATCTTTGATCGGGGTGTCAGTTTTCTTTGTGGGAATTTACTTGGACACTTTTCTCTGGTAATCTCCCATTTCCATTGCCGAGTTCGTTACCTATTTGTTCCTTTTTTTTTTCTTTTTTTTTTAATTCGAGCATTCCACTAATTGCATCCTCAGTCTGAACTTTTCATTCATATTTTAAATAAACCCTTACATTAGCTCAGAAATATGGTTGTTTATCTCTTTTGATTGATTGTATCCTTTTCAACTTTATGTAAATATCAACTTTATTTCATCAGTCTCCTGATAAGTAAGAGGGATCTTCAACGCGGTTCCTATCGGATTTAGGCCTTTGATAAAATGATTTTTAATCTGTATAACAACAGCATATGTGTTGAATTGAGAAGAATTACTGACAGATAGTCCAAATTTGAGGGATTTTGAGCTGTTTCACCATCTTTGTCTTAGGTGAGCAACAACCGCTTTGAATCACAGCATCTTGCACTTTGAGCTATGGCCTCAACCCTGGAAAATGAAGCTCATTCCCCCAAAAATATGTTCATTCTATCTGGCCAAAGTAACATGGCTGGTCGTGGTGGAGTAGACAAGCATAAGCATTGGGATGGCGTCGTACCAAACGAGTGCTCTCCCGATGCTTCTACAATCTTCCGTCTTAGCGCAGATCTCCACTGGGAGGTTGCACGTGAGCCGCTCCACCATGATATTGACGCCAAGAAGACATGTGGTGTTGGACCTGGAATGTCATTTGCAAACGCGATCAAGGACCGAGTAGAAGCTATTGGGTTAGTGCCATGTGCTGTAGGTGGAACTGCGATAAAGGAGTGGGCGCAGGGGGAACATTTGTATGAAAATATGGTCAGGAGAGCTAGAGTTTCCATGCATCATGGAGGAGAAATGAAGGCATTGCTGTGGTATCAAGGAGAGAGTGATACATTATCTCAGCATTGCGCTGAGACCTATAAGGCTAGTATGGAGAAGTTAATACATAATGTTCGTGCTGATTTGCATCTTCCATCTCTACCAATTATTCAGGTTAGTTAATATAGTTTGCTTCAAACATAAATATTGCCTGTTTGAAATAAGTAACATTATTACTGTGTAGCTGTGTAGTTCTCGACACTGAACGTCGAATACTAGAAAATAAAGTTTTAAGTGTTCTCTATGCATTGGTACTTGAAAAGATGTTCTTTTATGCATTTGTTCAGAATTGACCAGTTTAGAAAAGAATATAAAGTGTCATCTGAAATCGCTAGGCCAATTCAAATCAGCCTGATATATGTAACTTTTCCGCGGATTCGGAATTGTCTTCCATTCCAAGGCATAACTTGTATCCATGCGCTTCATATTCACCCGGAGTTTGCTCCAGAAATATAGCAATTCCTGCCCCCTCACGTCAAACCCACGAGCCTCTTATCCATTCTCTCATTGAACAACAGCGGGGAGCAAATTCAACTAGAAAAACTCACATTGGGCTTAGGGATAATCAGGCTCGAACTGATGACTTCCAAAGGACTGTGGCAATTGTAGTTAGAAATTCGGAGATAATTTTGCTTGTTTTCTTTTATGGAATATTGATAGGAACATTCATGGACCAAAGTAGTTGAACATTTTCGCATGTAGTCTTTAACTTTTGCATTGTCTTACAGGTTGCAATTGCATCAGGAGATGAGAAGTATATCGAAAAGATAAGAGAAGCGCAAAAGGGGATTGACCTCCCAAATGTTGTATGTGTTGATGCCATGGGAGTGCAGCTTAAGGAAGATAACCTTCATTTAACCACCGAGGCCCAAGTTAAATTAGGCCAAATGTTGGCCGATGCATACTTTACTCATTTTGCAGCACAACCTTCTGTGGCTTCATCTTGAGAAATTTGATGTACTATTTAAGCTAAAAGACATTTAATCCTGACTCATGAACACTAATAAGGATAATAAAACTAACCTCTCCCAAGAAGCTTCTTGCAGACCAATCTCTTCTTCTAAAATTTTCTCAGGTTCAATAGTTTGGGCTTTAATATTTTATGCAATTTGATCCCATCAGTTGGATTAGTATTTGAAATCATTTGAAAGCTGATTCTAACCCTGATTCATGAACATAACGAGAGCGCTCATTTGACTAAATGAGTATTTTTACTTTGAAGTAAGTTTACTCATTTTCTGTTTATATAAGACCTGATTATCCCTAAGCCCAATGTGAGTCTTTACTTTACTAAAGACTCCTTGCTTTGGTTCAGTCACATAACAAATACTATTATATTAATGCAGTAAATCGTCTGAAAACCTCTTTTCGTCTTTTTCTTAATAACGTCACGTATATACAAAGAAGTCCAAATGAGCGTACCAGTTAGCACCTTATGCAGCAACATTTTTCGGAGTTGGGTGCATATGCATGGATCGCTTTCTATCTTGGGTAGTCATATCAATCCAAAAGAAATGAACAAAAATAATACACCAGCAACAGGTGTGGTGGGATGGTTTGCATCCAACCACACCCTTCACCAAAGGTCTCGAATTCGAGCACCAGAAATTGAAAATTTCTTGGTAGTGTGTTTTACCTCCTTAGTAGGCTTACCCCAGGTGAATCACGATTAATTGGGATAAATCATGATTATTCAAATGCAAATAGTCTTATCAAAAACAAAATCACAAACTTGAAGAAATATACTAGGAGAAATTGTTTAGGGTACATGATTTCAGAATCTCACTTCCCATAAATATTTGCAAAGGATGTCTGCAAAATGAACCAAGGGAAAAAGCAAAGACTTCAACGGTACCCCTTATACAACCAAAGCTATCACGTTGTTTTATGGAGGTAACCCACTTGTTCAATTTAGTGTAAGGCCTGCAATGATATTGCTTGGATTTTTGCAGTCGGAGGATTTCTTCAGGGTTTTTTTTTGTATGTTTCGTTGAACTCAAACAAGAGATATCATTCGGGTATAGAGTCACAGAGCTCGGAAAGAAGCCACAACTACGTTGCTCTTCAACTCATTAACAACCTCATGTGCAAGGTCCACCTCTATCACTTGCTTCAGACACTCCACTAGCTTCATAAATTATAGTTGGCCGTCTTCTCACCAAGCAATATCTTTGTGTATTGAATTCTACGATCAGAGAGGGAGAAACCATTTATATATGTCATCTACTCCTCCGGCTTTCTGTGACATATTCATAGTATTTTTCTTCACCATAAAGTTGCCTGGAAGACAATAAATATGCAGTTAGTAAAATGTAGGGTGCCCCAGACCACCCAGAGGAACGGAAAAAATGGTTGAGGAAGACTCCATATATGAAATCATATATCAAAGTAATTCAATCTAGGTATAGTTGACATGGCTTTATGTCGGCGCCAGTGCCTCGGAAGCAAATGAGCATGCACAACAACAACGACAATAATATCCAGTGTAATTGTAATCCCACCGAGTGGGGTCTTTGGGGGGGGGGGGGGTGTACGCAGATCTTACACCTACCTTTGTGAAGGTTAAATGAGCATGTACAACCAACTCCTTATTACTCCATTCTATGACTAAGCAATTTTTAAATATCAAACTGTACATAGACATTGGCTCGAAACATTTTCCGTTTCTTTCAAAGTAGCCACATGATGCATATAAGTTTCCAAAATTCTGAAACAGTCATACATACAGTACAACCCATCCAACTAAATAAACATTCCATCACTGACCTCAGCGATACTCATTCTATCCAAACAAAAAAGAACATGCTCGACTGATGTTCACCACCCCATTTTGCAAAGAAAGACACGATTAGCAAATTTAGTCATACCGTTCACAAATGAACTATCTATTAAACCACAATCTTCCTCTTTTTACTTTGGGAAGATTGTCTTGGATAAGTACTGCTTCACATGCAGAAGAAACCTCTAGGGATGATATCTTCCAAACGCCCTCTCAAACTCATTTTTGACCACTTACAGAAGGGTTGAAAAAGGTATCAATACTCTCTGTTCTCCTTGCCTCCTGCCCGAAGTAGCACTAACCACAATAACAACTAACAAGGGCCCCAGAATAACATATTTCAGAACTAACTAGTCCAATCATTGTCACTTGACTAGTTCTATCAATATACAGCTTAAATGCGAAGAGTAGTAACAATGGGAAATAGTAGTAAATGTTGTGGACTTATGAACCATGCGTCCATGCCCAATGTTGGACAAATCTCAAAGTGAATAATGGTACAAGGATGAAAGAATGATTAAGAACCTCACGAACTGTAAAAGTCACCATGTCACCTTCTCAAAAGTTAAATCCTTGTTTCTATTGAGTCAGAAATTTTGAGCAACTGTTCAAATGATCAAATAATGTGAATACGTAGAAAATAAAGGAAAGGAGAGAGGGTGAAGATGTCTATATATATTATGTATATACCAGACCACAACATCCAAACTACCCATAGTAGGAATCAGAACACGAACATAATTTGGAAACTAACTGAACAGAAACTAAATTTTGCTCCAGACACATGGAACTACGGGTGGATGTAAGAGCAGCAGACAGCAAAACTTACGCTAGATCAGCCAAGGTATCCGATTTAATTACCGCCTGTCCCTCTGGGAGCCCAAGGGAAGAGTACTGCATTATCATTTCCTTCAGGGTGTGCTTTGTGCTTTTGATATCATTATCCCACAATATACTCTGCAACCAAAGCACCCAGACCTGTTACTTATATTTGCAGTGAAAAACATATAGGAAGCCAATGAGTTAATCCTTTTCACCAAACATATAGGAAGCCAATGACTTCATCATCTTCAATTTCAAACAAATGTTGAATATATTTTAGTCTATTTCACTAATAAGCCGGATGGACAAAGTGGCTACTTAATTCGGACTCTAATTTTAACATGTAATAAAGATTGATTCACATCTGATTTCACAGTCCTAATACCTTTCTCACATACTCTCTTTTGACATCTTCCCGTGGTATTTTCCCCTCGGAAGAGAATATAGAAGCATTCCAAATGGCTCCTCTTGCAACCATCACAGATGAAGCACCTATAAAATAAAGTTGTTAAATGTTGCAAACTGTAAACAACCATGTAAATATTCATAAAAACAGATAGAAAGACAATCATCAAGTTAATGTGAACAATGCTTTTCACACACAGATTGTTCATTATTTGCTGTGTTAATAGGAAGCATGCTTACAAAGATTAATTTTGTATTTCTGGGGCATAAAATCTCTGATTATAGCTTTTTGAATTAGAAGCTACATTGCTCGGAACCTCCAAAAATATCATCACACCCGTGTAGGATCCTCCGGAAATGCATTTTTAGGAGGGTCTGACACAGGTGCAGCTGCTTTTTTGGAGGATCCGAACAACATAGCTTAAAAGAGTTAATGGGCTTGAGCTGCAAGCATCCACGATGAATTTGCTAAGCAGTTAGAGGACCTATAAGACTTAGTTCAAGCAAATCAACCATCAACAACTTCGCATGAAGCTATTGCTGTTGCAGAGCTGTGCTAAAACTCCTTTTTAGTGCATTAACATGTTTGTCCCTAAAGGAAGACAAGGAAGAACCAAAGCTTCCATGTGACGATCAGTTGATGTTGGACCATATAAAACCCATATATACTTATATAGTATCTATCCTTCATCTTGTCATCTTGAACACCTAAAACTGTCAAATGCATCCACAATTCTTTAGAGCGAAAGAGAAGTATCCAGAAGCAAGAATTCAAGCTTTTTCTACATTTTTTGTAGAAGTAATTAACTTATTGATTGACGGGAAAATTCCTGCATACAAAATGTCTGTATACATCTTTCACAAGAACCATCAAGTGTCTAAGCATATTAAAAAATATATAAGCTATTTGATCCTGTTTCCTTAAATCTAAGGACATCTGATGAAAACCAAAGATATATACCCATATACGGATATGTATCTTAATAAACATATAATTTCTTGTCATATTGTGACAAAATAGTTGTGACAAAACATTCAGATCTATTGACATCTAAAGAAAACTTCACCCAGAAAGTGCAAATGGATTCATCAGAGAACAATGTGAGAACAAGAACATTTATGAGAAGTATAAGCACACCTGTTGCATCTCTAATACGTTGAAAATCCTCATATTCAAAAACATCACCATTTGCTATAACTGGAATAGAGAGAGCGGCAGCAACATCAGCAATCTCACTCCACTTTGCAGGATCTCTTGGCCTGTCTTGAACTTTCCTATAGTTCAATCGATAAGCATGAGGAAATATCTATATCACTTGACCTCAATTAAAAGCCCCAAATAGAAGAAAGCACAAACAAGCAATCAGTGATGACTATCTATCCGAAACAAAACCAAAAATGACTGATGGCCATATTCCATGGAAACAGAGACATATTCAGAGTAGCCGCTTAGAGAACTGTCAAATTGCACCCTCATAAATCAATTCTGACATCATTTCCAAGTATAGCATGTTCAATTTCTGTATTATAATAATCTAGCACTGACTACACAAAATGACAGCACAGACATAATTCACAGAAAAGGCAATTGTGTGCATCAACCTACCCACTCACCCGCAACAACCCACCCCCACAAATGAAAGGAAGATCAGTAATTCATGAATTGGCATGTCCAGAATCAAATTTAAACATCAGTTAAAAACACAAAAAAATGAAAAAATGAAAGGACAGAGAAGTGTGGAAACCAAAAACATGAACAGACAATACTTTCCAATATAATCAAGAAGTAGACTAATTGGTCCCCACCCCACTTATAAGGTGGACTGTTTGAATCTACAGCAATCCCCACCTCATATTGGCAAAAAGACTCCAATAACCATATGAAATAACTTGACCCCCTAAAGAAGGCAATCTGAATATTCAAAGGGTTGGTTGATGACACAGCACAAGATTAGGTTTAAAAAGAACAATGAGAAGCAAATGCAGAGAAATCACCTACCTTCCATGGACAGCAAGGGCAGAGACACCAGTCCTCTCAATTCGTCGTGCCAATTCCACTGTATCCTGCGGAGATTTTAATAATCTAATCTTGCATGTTACTGGTACATCCAAGTTCCTCCTCAATGTTGTCAAAATCTGAGTTCAGAAGAAAGGAACATCATGAACAGGACATGCACTTCCATGCTGAATTAGAAGGAAATTTTACTACTAGGGTGAAGGAGCAAGAACGAATGCATACATCATGAATGAGCTCTGGTTTGCTCAACAGTGCAGCACCCATGCCTCCACTAATAGAGAATGACTTGGGGCATCCCATGTTTATGTCCACTGCTGCTACATCTTTACACCTGAGAAGGGACAGACAATATTTTAGAGAAATCTAAATTTTTAGCCGCTCCCAAAACTAATAGCCAACATGTATATTTTTTTTGTATATATGTGTATTATATACATAAAATATACATATTTTACACTTTTTGGCTAGCGAATGCAATTAGTTTCAGCTGAGCCGCCAATTTTGTATTTTGCCCAATATTTTGATCAGATGCAGTAACTTCCTGTTGAAATTGAGCATAATTGCTGATTTAAATTTTCATGCCTAGGTCAGGATTGAAGACCTCTAGAAAAAAAAAATCAAGTGCTTTGAAGTTTCTTCATTATCTTAAGATGTAGATCCCGAACCTTACAAGAATGCAATTCGTGGAATTTTACGATAGCTATTCAGTATAAAAAAGAATTCCTAAAGAATAAAATTCTTAACAATGTGGCTTGTTGCAGTTCAACATTAATAAGTTTAGCTCAGACAAACTTGTTGCTTTAAACAAACATCAGTTACACCCATCATCAATATATGTCAGAAACTTCGATTGTAAATACTGCTAACAACATGTTAAACTCAAAAACTAGACATCCAATGCAGAAAAAGGATATGATATCATTGAGAAAATGAAAAGCAAAAGCACTGAGTCCGCTTCAAGGACAGTTCCTCAAGCAAATTAGTAAAAGAAATCCAACAAGATCATTTATAACATTGATGTACAATATAGAGACCAAGAATATGAAATCTACCTATAAGTAAACAAAATCCAACAAGATCATTTTTAACCTTGATGTATAGTACAGAAATCAGGAACATTCAAATTTTACCTCACCCCTCATCTCTCCCTACCTGAGGCAGGGGATATTTACTTTACCGCCAATAGGATCTATTGTTATCAAGAAAATGTTTCATGGCACAAGAAGACTTCTGCAGGTACCATTTATAGTCAGAGAGAGAATGGTACAAATTTATTAGGACCCGCATGCCGGTGGAAAGCAGTTATTAACTAATGGCATCTGTATTTGCTCCTGATGAATGCAATTCATTTTATTTTTTATTTTTTATTTTTTATTTTTTTTGGGGGGTGGGGGGTGATTTCACAACAGAAACTGCTTGGCTGGTTCATAATCGCAATTCTATGCAATGTTGCTTAACCAATGGATATTCTACATAATGCATCAAATTACTTTAAGGAAATATCACTAAATTGACATCTGCCTATAGGACTGTGGATGTGTGTATGACCATGTGAACATTAGATTGTGTGTGCGTGGAGGG